TTGAGAGAGAGAGTCACAAAAACCACGGATTTTTAAGGCAAGAACAACTTGTTTGTTCCCCATCCTCCCCCCTGATTTTGGTGAATGAAAGCAACTATCTTCAAAATGAAAACCAGATCTGGATTATGCAAAAAAAAAAAAAAAAGGTGAGCAAGTTTATCCTTACTATTAGACTCATGGGATGGGTAACTATATAAATAGTTCAAATAAATTAATATAATTTAATATTAAATGTTGATATATCAAATAATAGAAAAAAGTATACAAATATATTTACAACATAATCTTGGTAATATTTTAAAAATGTTAAAAGCTTTGGAAAATGCTTGAAATAGAATAATTTCAAAAAGGAATTTTCTATTCAAAAAGTCTTCAGCTTCATACATACATATTATGTATTATAATTTTGACAAGTGCATATAAACAATCTTTTGCTGCAAACCAGGTATAGATTTCTTTTCCCATTGTATTTCTTCAGCCGGCTTTCAAAAGTCTACAATTTTTGATGTTTTGATATATACAAAGGAAGTAGCCAGAAACTATATATGTATTTCTAGATTTTCTGTAGAAATCACCCCACAGAGAGAGCATTGTAATAAATTATAGAAATAGGTTTCTCTCATCATGACATGAATCTAATTTATCATGATAAATGTGATAAATGTTCCCTTCATTTTTGCTACCATTGTAACATAATTAAAACTCCATACTTAGTTCACAACAAAGCTTACTTTTTTTCAAAATTCATTATGGAGCTTTGCCTCTAACTATAAATTTAGGATTGGAGGTTTTGACTTCAGTTAGTTAAGCCCCTCCATTCCTTGTGTGAATAACTGAAGAATAATTATTTCAAAATAATGTGGGCAAGCCAGATATGGCTATTTCCATTATAAGTGTGTTTACTTTAAAAGGTCATTTTTAAAGCTCTGGAAATTATGAAATATTTAACTTGCATGATCTCATAATTTAAATGGCACTGGACACTCTGATGAAGTAATACTTAAGAAAGCTCATGCCACAATAAATTATTAGATAGCACAAATCATATAAATTACTATATGAACATATAACATATTTTATGAGGAAAAAAGTGTAACATCTTTATTACATCTGCAGCAGCAACGCCAGGCAGGTCCAACACCAGTACCAGGCAGGTCCAGCACCAGCAAGCAGCCGCAACATTCTTCAGTGAGTTAAATGAAATCAGAAGTAGTTTATTCCTCTTATTCTAATTACATAGTCTATTGCATTTATCCTCTCATATGCTTTATGAAGAGGACTATTATTTGTATTTTAAAAATGAATAACTGAAGCTAATAAGATCTTCCATAGTAAGTTGTTATAGCATTGGGACTTCAGACTAGATGTCCCAAATTCCAGAATACTTCATTAGAATATTAGGACAACATTTTAGGTATTTAGAACAAATGAATAACAATATTATTAAAATATTACTATTTCTCATATGAAATCAGATGCGTATAGAAATGAACTGATAGTTATAAGCAAGCACTTACCTTATGCTAAGTATCAAGAGAGTTTCGTAATGTTTTCATCATTTTTTTAAAAAAAAACATATTTGCTCATGGAGAAAGAAAATATAGCCCAACCTACCAAAAACAGAACCGTAAAGGACAAGCTAGGAATATAAATTAAAATAAGCAAGAAAATGATAAGAGAACACCTGTCCCCTCTAGACCAGTTTAAATTTCCAGGACCTGACAGATTACATCGCAGAGTTCTGAAGGAACTGGCAGACGTGATCTTGGAACTATTGAGCCATATCTTTCAAAGATCCTCGAGGATTGGGGAACTATCAGTGTACTGAAAAAAAATTGATGTGGTTCTCATCTTCAAAAAAGGAGGGGGAAAAAAACAGATCCAGGAAACTACAAATCAATTAACCTGATATTAATACCTGGCAAGATCCTGGAAAAGATAAGCACAGATCTGAGAATATCTAAAAACAAGCAAAGGTATAACCAGAAGTCAACATTGGTTTGTCTAAAACAGATTATGCTGAACAAAATGCCGTGGACATACTGTACTTGGATTTCTGTAAGGCATTTTTACAAAGTAAACCATAACCACTTTCTTAGTTAACTAGAAAAATGTGGGATAGACAGCACCACCAATTGATGGACTTGTAACTGTCTGATAATCTGCACTCAATGTGTAGTCCTTGATGAAACTACATCTACATGGAGAGAAATAAATAGTGGGTTACCCTAAGGTTCCATTTTAGGCACACTACTCTTCAATATCTTCATAAATGATATAGATGAGGGAATAGAAGGAGAACTCATCAAATCTGCAGATGATAACTAAGCTGGCAGGAATAGCCAACACCCTAGGCTTAAAATCCAGATGGATCTCCACAGAAGCGAATAGTGGGCCCTATCTAACAAACTGAAATTCAATGGAGAGAAATGTAAGTTTCTACTCTTAAGCAAGAAAAAACAAATGTACAGGTATAGATTAGGAGAAACCTGGCTCAATAGTAACTATGAGATGAATCTTGGAGTCCTAGTGGACAATCACTTAAATATGAGCAAACTGTGTGGCAGTAGCCAAAAAAAATCAATGCAATCCTAGACTGCATTAACAGAATAATCAAGATTACATGCAGCATTAGTACAGCTGTATAAAGCCTTAGTAAAACCACACTTGGAACACTGTATCCAGTTTTGGTCACCACATAAAAAAGATGTTGAGACTTTGGAAGAAGTTCAGAGGAGAGCAACAAAGATGATTAGGGGCTGGAGGCTAAAATACATGAAGAATGGTTTCAGAGATTGGATATGTCTAATCTAGTGAAAAGAAGGACTAGGGGCAACATGATAGCAGTCTTCCAGTATTTGAAGGGCTGCCACAAAGAAGAGGGGGTCAAACCTATTTTCCAAAGTACCAGAAGACATGCCAAGATATAGTGGATTGAAACTAATCAAGGAGAGAAGCAACCTACAATTAAGGAGAAAATTCCTAACAGTGAGAACAACCAGAGGAACAGCTTTTCTTCAGAAGTTGTGGGGAGATTTTTAAGAAGTGACTGGACAGCCATTTGTCTGAAATGTATAGGGTCTCCTGCTTGAGCAAGGGATTGGTTGGGCTAGAAGATCTCCAACGTCCCTTCCAATTCTGTTATTCAAATAGGTAAAATATTTAATTGAATAACACAGATGCAAATATATTGAATCCCTCTAGCATCCATTCATCAATCAGTAATTGTTCATTTTTGCTAATCATAGCATGCATATTGATTTTTAGAAGCATAGCTAACCTAATCAATTATTAGAGCAACTGTCTTGGCAGAAATAGCATGAAATAAATTAAAAAGTTGATATTTGAAAGTACTAGGAACTCCTTCATTAAGCAACATAGTTGTAAGGCATGACATCATGTATACACACTGTCTTACAATGGCAGACCCAGTTGCCATTGTTAAGCAAATCCGGTTCAACTAGTCTCCCACATGATCATTTGCTTTGTCACTGGCTTGCTTGTTAAAAGCCTGAAGTGAAGGTTTGAAATGGTGATTATATGACCGTAGCATGCTGAGACATAATTGCAAACGGAGCACCCAAATTATGATCATGTGAAAATGAGGATGCTGCAATGACTGCAAGTAGAGGAACCTATGTACCCCTTGTTCAGCACCATCATAACGTTGGTTACTGTATGAATGGGTGTTAAGTGAGAACTGCCTCTATCCTTTGCCACTTGGGTGTATGAATGTGATTAATCACTTGGGTTAATGTAAAAGTTGCCCAATTTGAGTGTTTGAAGCTTATTATTTGGGAAGAACACTTTCCAATAAAATTATTTTATGTAAATATTCAGCTGTATATAATTTCATATTGGTCAAACCAAGCAGAATATAACCATCATTTGATAAATTTGAGTTGCCTTTATAGTAGATTGGAATCAAGTGTTAGTCTCCATAACACCTTTTAATATTGGGAAGTTTTGAATCTATCAATGTTTAACTAGGTGGATGAAAGTGGTGATTGTAGCCAATTCCATTCTCCCTTGGCAGAATATGCCTTTTAAACTCCTGAACATCTATTCTGGATATTCAGGAGACAGTAGGAAAGTTGATTCTTAGGATTGTAGAACTAGGGAAATTGCTGAAGGCGATGTCATATCCTCCTCCTCTCTTTTCTCCCTTACCTCCTCCCCACCCCATATATGTAATCTATATGTAGTATGTCTTTTCCGAAATATAGTATGTTTTATTATAACTTTGCAATGCAGCAGTGCTTAAATATTGTTAATAGCTGTAAATTGACCTGATTTAGTCTGTAATCCTAAATCTTGAAATCTCCTTTGCCTTGATTCATTATCTCTGATGTACACTTTTATAAACACGCCGTCCAAGAAGTATTAATCTTCATTTAATTTCTTATATTGAATATCACTTATTAGACTATATTGATGGAAATAATACGTTATTATTGAAGGGCAAACATTTATTAGAATGTAGCAGTGTCCTCTTGTATCAATAACCTCACTTTCTTTTGCATGAAAATGAATAAGATCTTTGCAGAAGAGCATTTATGAATGGTGATTATAATACCGTTTCCCCAAAAACAGAACATGTCCTGAAACTAAAGCCTTGCCACATTTTTCGGGTGGGCAAAAATATAAGCCCCCCCCCAAATAAGCCCCCTGGACAACCTCCCTCTCCGGCCAGGCAGAGCACCGCTCACCAACCTAGCGATATCCCAAAGGCACCAAGCTGTGGGAGCTGGGGGGGGNGTCCTTCAGGGACAAATCCAGACAGCAAGGGAACCACAGGTCCTTTCGAGGGGGTTTTTCCAACCGTTCCTTGCAGACCCAAGTGACCGTCGGCTACAGCGTTACTCCGACCAGTGGGAGGAGACAACGACGGGCGCTTGGGTACTGAACATGATCCATCACGGCCTCACCTTAGACTTCCTTTCCCTCCCCCTCGGTCCTTCATTCATTGCCCCATCCCAAAATCAACTCACAAGCGACAAATGATGCAGGCGGAGATCCAGCATCTACTGGACATAGCGGCCATAGAGCAAGTGCCCCGGGGTCAAGAAGGCAGGGGATGCTACTCGATCCTCTTTCTGGTTCCCAAAGCCTCGGGAGAGGTGAGAGCCATACTGGACCTCAAGAAACTTAACATCCACATAGCATACAAGCGCTTCAAGATGCAATCGTTCCAGAACATCTTGGGTTGCATCAGGCAGGGCGATTTCCTGACTTCAATCGACCTGAAGGAAGCGTATCTGCATGTACCCATTCATCCAGTGCATCGCAAGTTCCTGAGGTTCCAGTTTGCAAACCAACATTACCAATACAAGGCTCTTCCCTTCGGCCCATCATCAGCCTCAAGGACTTTCACCAAACTCCTGGCTGCTGTCGCTGCACACCTCAGGACTCGTCCAGTGAGGATCATTTGTTACCTGGATGACATTCTGTTGATGTCGGTGTCCAGACAGAGGGCATGCCAGGATCTCAACGCCACCATTCATGCACTACAGCAACACGATTTCTCCGTTAATCTGGAGAAGAGCCATTTGGAGCCTACCTCCAGGATTCAACACCTGGGCTCCAGAATCTGTAGGGTTTTCCTCACGCAGGAGTGAAGGGACAGCATCACACCCCTCGTACGCCAGATCAGGAAATCCAGGTCAGCACCTCTAGTGACTCTATCTCAGCTGCTGGGGAAGCTGATCTTGTGCATCGCTGTAGTCCCGTGGGCACAGCTGCATGCACGAGAACTTCAGTGCTTCCTTCTCATACAGCGATGCAAAGCCAGCAACTCCAAGAGGGTGGTTACCATTCCCCCAAGAGTGGTTCGGTCGCTCGGGTGGTGGCAATCCTCGGCACTAGCAAAGGGTCCCTCTTCAAGGAACCAGAGCACCTGGTCATAACAACAGACGCCAGCTTATATGGCTGGGGCACCCATCTACAGACTCATGTGATGCAGGGCAGGTGGTCGCAGGCGGAGCTCGCCCATAACATAAACTGGCTGGAGCTCAGAGCCACCAGACTTGCCCTGTGCCACTTCCGTCGATTCATTGAGGGCCGTCATGTCCTCATTCTGATGGACAACATCGTCGCCAAGGCTTATGTCAATCATCAGGGCAGCACTCAATCGACTGCCCTGATGTCGGAGGCAGAGGCGTTGGGGTGATGTGCGAAACGTCACTTTGAGTCCTTGAGGGCAGACCACATCTCTGGGGAAGACAACGTGACAACGGACTGGCTGAGCAGAACGACCATCAGCAATTCAGAGTGGCAGCTACATCCATCTCTGTTCCACCTGTTGACACAATGATTTGGTCTCCAGGTTCTAGACCTGTTTGCCAGCCCCGAGAACGCTCAGATCTCCCGGTTCATTTCAAGGTTCCAATGCCCCGACGTGGAAGGGACAGATGCTCTTCGATGCTGCTGGCCTCTGGGACTGTTACATGCGTTCCTGCCCTTCCCACTGATACCCCAGGTGATCAGGAAGATCCTGCTGGAGGGGGCCGAGGTACTGCTCGTTGCTTCGCACTGGCCAAGGAGGTCCTGGTTCACCGACCTTGTCAGTCTGTCAGTGACCAAGCATTGGCTCATTCCTCAAGAGTGGCACTTGAGGGGGAGCTCCTGAGGCAGGATAACTTCTCTGACAAGGTCATCCGCACCATTCAGGCGCCCAGGAGACCTTCTACTGTGCAGATCTATGATGCTACATGGACCAGTTTTTCCTCCTGGTGTCACTCCCTTCAAATCATCACCACAGCTGCGACAATTCCGCAAATCCTGGATTTTCTCCAGGACGGCTTGGACAAGGGCCTTGCCCCCAACACACTTCGGAGGCAGACAGCAGCCCTGGCCACCATCTTGTCCAGAGNAAAAGGCCAATTTTCACAAAAAATGGGCTGTTTTGGGGAGGTTTGCAGAGTGGAAAAACTTTTATTTGCCTGTTCAAAACCTTGGTGCGTCTTATACTCCGAAAAATATGGTATCTATTGGATGAAAGTCATCAAATTAGAGGCAATCATAACAGAAGAGCTCCATAATGTGGGTTATTGAGCTCTGGTTTCTATAAATGTGAAACTATTACACTGGTTTCCATCTCTTTAAAGCAACCATGGTTTTTCCTAGGATTGTGCTTTGCCCATTGCAATTACTTCCTGATTCCAGGAAGACGTACTTTTGATTTACATAGTTACAAGAATATTTGTTTGTTGGTTAAATTTATTCGCCTCCTGTCTTTCTGGGGCTACTTTAGGTGGCTTACCACAGTAAAAAGGAAGAAATGAAAAGAGAGTGAATATCACTCCTGTTTGTGGTGTAAGCCCTTTTTACAACTGAAACGGTAAACAATTGTACAGGTAATCCTCGACTTACAATAGTTCACTTAGTGACCGTTCAAAGTTACAGTGTCACTGAAAAAAGTGACTTATGACTCTTTTTCACATGCAGGGGGGGTTGCACGCGCGAGGGATGGGAGGGCACGTGCATTGCATAATAGGTGATGAAAAGGTTGGCCATCACTGACCTATACTGTGTGACAAGAAAAAAAAGGTAAAAAACAGTATTATTATTCAGGTAGGCTAATATACAGTGTGCAAATAATCTAGATGCTAGTATGATGTGGTTGTTTTTTTTTAGCATAGATACGTTTATTTTAGCATAGATTCAAGAATATACTTTGTAGTTTACCAAATGAGCGGAGGTAATACTTTCTTATGACTTTGTTTAATGACATTTCAAAGTTGGGAAAAATAACCTGACCTGTACTTGCACTTAAAACTGTTGCATCATCCCCATAATCACACCATTACAATTTTGGTACTTGGCAACCAGCTCACATTTAAGACTGGTTGCAGCATCCTGCCCTGAATTGATCACACTTTGTGATCTTTTTTGCCAATTTCTGCCAAAAAATTCTCACTGGGAAAATTGGCCTTTGCTTAACGAGCTCTGGAAAAATTGTTGTAAAAACCAGACAAATTCAACTTACAACTGCAGTGGCTTGCAAGAGAAATACCAATCTCAATTGTGGTCATACCTCAAGGATTACCTATAGATGAACTCTCTTAAAATTGCAGTTGATGTCCATGAGATAATATGTACTAGAGAGTAAATAAGATACAGATGTATTTCTTAGTTTATATCAAGACAGGTATGAAGCCTTTCTTGTATTGCAAATACTATCTTTGGTTTGGAATTAGAAAAAGAAAATTTAAATATAATTGCAAGGAAACAGAGGTGTATTGTGGTAAAGATAAGCTACAATTAATGGTTTATTTTGTTTAGAAAGAAAGAGCATGAGCCAGTATAAAGGTGGGTGGAGAAAAGGAGGTAACACGGACTTAATAGATAAAAACTGGAAGAATTTAATGGCTCCAGAGTTCCAAAAAGGTTTGAATTAATATTTATAGTGATTGGAAAAAGACAGATCCTATTTCCAAAAGATAAGAATTGTAGTTGATTGTCTTATTTCTAAAGAAGGATCAAAGTAACTTGTCAGTTTAGCCCCATTAATGCTAACATCTCTTCTTTAAGTTCTTGAGTTGACACTCAAAAAGCATGGTTGGTTTTTGGAAAGAAGTGCTTGCTCAAATGTGTCAAGTAGTTGACTTAAATGTTTTTAAAAATTATTTTACCATACTATGCAGGTTTGTCTATTCATTCTTAAGAAGTGCTGCACTGCTGGATTGGACCTTTGTCCTTGTAATCCAGTAGTATTTCTCACAGCAGCCAACTATTTGCATAAGGAGGCTCACTGGTTTCCAAGCAGAGACCTTCAGAGGCAGTCCCACTGCTGTCAAGGCTGCTAACCATTGATTTCCATGACCCCCGGGAATTGGTTCAATCCTTTTTTGAATCAGACAAGATGTAGCCTGCACAACTCGTAGTGAATTTCAAGGATTAATTATACATTGTGTAAAAAAAAATCCTTTTGTCAATCTTATTTTTTTCCAGGATTCAATTACATTTTATCGTTAATAGTTTCCACTACCTCCCAATATTTAAGAACCCTATGTACTATTTTTAATTTTGTTGCCAGCAGGCATTACATGCTGAAATAAATTGGAGCAGAATATATTTAGTATGTATATATTTTGTTCAATAATCCATATAGAATTTTGTATGTATTAAAGGTGTCATTTTGATCCATGTTGTCTATAATTGATCTTAATAAATTGCAAATTTTCATCACTGATACTGGAAATATAATCAATATTCCACTAATTAGTACTACTTAATTTAGTGATAATTGTAACAATATTTAAAAATAGAACAACATAATTTCAGGAAAATATTTGGTGTATTCCATTGGCTCCTTTATATCAAAATGCCTTTTTAAACAACACTTTTTTTCTCTCATTTCAGGGAAACGAAGCAAGCTACCCACTGGAAATGTGTTCACACTGTAAGTTCAACTTTACCTAGATTGATTGTAACAAAAATGCAGCTGCTGTTCTGAGAATATCTTCTCAGCATGGAAGAGAATAGATAGTTCAAGTTTATAATAAAAAGGCAAAAATAGGCTATTTTTTTCTCACCATAAGGCCGGGGTAAATTGCTTCTGCTAATTGAGAATGAGCTACCATTGAATAGTATCTGTTTTAAGGATAACTGGTCAATATATTAGTAGTATTTGATTTGTACCTTCAAAGGATAAAAATCAGTGGATTAGAGGTTCTTTATGCCCTACATTTTTGTTGGGCATGCAAATAATGTATTTTTTAAAACTTGCATTTTTCAACTTAATTTTTATTTATTTATTTATTGGTATCCCATCTTAATTATTTTTATAAATAACTCAACATAATATTCCTTCCTCCTCCTCCTAGTTTCCCTACAACAACAAACCAGTGATGTGAGTTGGTCTGGGAGAGAGTGACTGACCCAAAGCTGTCCAGCCAGGTTTCATATCTTAAGCAGGACTAGAATTCAATCTCCTGGCTTCTAGCCTGGTGCCTAAACCAATAGACCAAAGTGTCTCTTATTACCTGCTTTAAAGGAGGAAGGCCAATTATAATTCTTGGAAGTAATTCAGCTTCAATTATAATCTAATATAACAGTGTAGTATATGAAATTTTGCTAAATGAATTTGTATATATAAAATCTATATGGTATTCTGCTGTATTATTCTTGTATCAGTACCTTGTAAAGCTACTCCTAAATGATGAATGGATCTATTGAAATAGTCTGTGAGTTGGAAAAGAAAGGCTGGAAGGATTTGTTATACATAAACATTGTCATTTAGTCTTTCTTCCCAAAAGGTATGCACAAGGTGAAAGATTTAAATTAGTTTCAACAAACCATGAAAATGTATTCTCAGTCCCTTTGAACTTCTTTAACCAAGAGATGTACATATTTCATTGTAATCCTGTCTTTCTCCTAGGCNGGGATACTGCTAGGTTGGGGAGTGGCGTTCTGCCTGGCTAGAAGGGGGAGTTGCTGGCGGCTGCTCCCTTGCGAGCGGGCTCCCGATGAGCTGGGCACAGCCTCAGGGGCAAATCAGCCATGAGGTGACCATGCTCAAGAGCAGCCACCCAGCAAACCCCCTCTCCAGCTGAGCAGAGCGCCATTCACTGACCTAGGGGATATCCCTAAGTTGTCAAGCCATGTGGCCCTTTGCCCGCTCCTCAGCTCCCGCAGCTTGGCACATTCGGTATACCCCTTGGTCAGTGCATGGAGCTCTTCCAGGCTGGAGAGGGGGGTTGCGCAAGTGCCTGCTCCACCCCCAGCTTGCATGCCTCCCAGCCTCACCATGCCCTGGGCCAGCTATCCTTCTAGCCAGCTCCGAGCAAAACTTTTTCTCCGGCTTTCAAACTTCGGAACTCTGCTTCTGATTCTTCCAGCAGCGGCCGCTGTAGGAGTGTTTTCTATGGTTATGGACAGGCTGCTGGACAAAGACTTCCCCAAAACAATAAGCCCTCCCCCTCTAATAAACCCAAGGCCATATTTCGTGGGTCAAAAAAATATAAGACTTGTTGTATTTTCAGGGAAACACGGTATGCATCTAATGTACCTGGCTTTAACATGCTCTAGAACCTTGCACATTTGTAGGATGGGGTGTTTTTGAGAATAGGGAAATTAGTACCCTGCCAGCTAGGATAATCTTGTTCCCATAAACATTCCACATTTGCTATTCCATTCAAAGTGTTAATAATTGATGGCTTTGATTTCAGAAGTTTGTTTTGACTACTGAATGAGATTAATGTATAGTTTAAAGGCATTCCTACAGCTCTTCTCATATGCTGATAAACACCATATACTGTAAAGTGTATGGGGAGAGCTTTTATTGTGATGACCATATTTTGAATGTAATCAGTCAACCATTAGCCTTTATTGAACTGTAAAGAGGAAAGAAGGCATTGGATATTTCTTATATAGAAATTTGTATTTATAGAATAGAGATGAGGAATAGAAACGGAAACAGAAATAAACATAACATCCAGTACTAAAGCAGTCATGCCTTTCATTTACTTTATTCATTCTATATTCTCATGGCATGGGATTATAAAAGGAGCTTCAATAAAGGGGTATTCTTTGTGTGGAGGTCCAATCACTTGACTTTAGAGAACTCCGAAGTGTATGTTGGATTCTAACAGAAGTATCAATCAATTGATTGATTCAGACTTAATTGATTGTAAACTGAAAAATATTTTTTATCCAATAATAGGCCACTAGGCCACTAGTATTTTTTCAAAGTGCTGTACTGTAGGACAAAAACAAAGAAAGGCTGTAATAAGTTTACCAACAACACAAGTTTTAAAATTCAAAATTTGAAGTTGGTTTACCAGGACAAGAAAATTGGAAAAAAAATGGAAGTTTCTTAATTTTTCATTGAACAAAAGGTTAAAAAGTGGGTACGGGTGGAAAAGCTTTGAAGAAGTTGCTTTTATGTTTAAAAGCTAAGAAATGCATCTGTTTTTGATGGTAGTATAAAAGCTTAGTGATTGTGCTGGTTCTCTAATGAGGAAAATATTTTCCAAACATCCATGGTTAAGACATGACCAATTCCATAAACTAGAAATGTTTTGATCCTGATGATTTCACATTACATGTTTTGATATTAAATAAAATTACAAAACCATCCTATTTTTAAATGAAAATTAATCTGAAAAACATCAAGAAAAATACTTGCTTATTAAACAACAAAAATGTATCTTTCAGTTAAAAAGGTTTTTTCGGTAGCATCTTCCTGATGATTTCTGAAGCCATTAATCCTCAATCTCTCTTTGGAGGGATTTAAACCAATTCAAATTTAATCAGACCTGCCTTGAGAACAGATAATCCATTTATTTGAGGAATGAGGAATTCTGACCAATGGTAGCTATAATGTCTTCCATACTGTTTGTTCCACTAATTTTCTAATCATAATCAATAAGCAGAATTTACTATAAGTAGCGAAGGAATTTGTAGTTGCCACAGATTTATTTTCTGTATTTCAATGGAGGTCTTACAGTACTTTGATAGACTACATGAAAAATACCCAGTATTAAAAAAGAAAATTAATTTGGAAAATACTTGATATTACAAGATTATTTACAAACTTATGTCTAGCATCTTTTCGTTATTACCTTTTAGGTAACTTTTATCCCTTCATTTTCTCATTCCAAGTAATGGTTCCAATTTTCCAGAGTGGGTTTGCAGGATGGTCCAGTGATGGTATTGTCACAGCCAATTGGCCTCGAGACTGGGTTGAATCTGAAGCCATGGCTCTGGGCTCCTCTCCTCTGACTCCAGTTTCAATCCAGTCTGGCCAGCATAGAGACTAAGAAAGCTTTGACTCCTGAAAGAAAAATCCATTACTGTACCCTCCTCAAACTAGCGTGGCTTCCTGCCTTCCAGAGACCCTACCTCCTCCTCTTCGTAAGTTTCCCATTGGTGGCTGCGGTTTTCCAGCTGCCTGGGGCTTGAATTTTTTCGAATTTGGGAGGCCCCAGTGGCTGGGTCGCTGCTCCGGTGGCCATTTTAGCCGGCAACCACATGGAGCCTGGAGGCCTCGTGATCGGCACCCGTCGCCCTACATCCGGCACTACAGGCTGGATGCTTTCGCATCTTACGACGTGGTGTTCGTCCACAGGGTCCTTCATCAGGTCCTGTCGGATCAGTGAGGGCCCACCCTATGGGACGGAACTTGGGTATGTCCCATCACTGGACCATCCTGCAAACCCACTCTGTAAAATGACAGCTGGTCTTACCTGAACTGTTACTTTAAGAGGTGTTTGCAGGATGGGCCAGTTCCCACCCTAGGTTAGATAGACAGTATTGGGGGTGGAGGTGTCTCCTTTGTGACTTATTTTCAGGATCTTGGGAGCGCATACTGCATTGAAACTGGAGTCAGGGGAGAGGAGCCCAGAGGTGTGGCTTCAGATTCAACCCAGTCTCGAGGCCAATTGACTGTGACAATACCATCACTGGCCCATCCTGNCACCACAGCTGCGACAATTCCGCAAATCCTGGATTTTCTCCAGGACGGCTTGGACAAGGGCCTTGCCCCCAACACACTTCGGAGGCAGACAGCAGCCCTGGCCACCATCTTGTCCAGAGTTGATTCTCAACCACTCAGCAGACACCCAAGGGTTCACAGCTTCCTGAAGGGGGCTACCAACTTACGCCTTCCGTTACCCAACTTGGGACTTGTCAATTGGCTTGCAGACCCTAATGTCACCGCCATTCGAACCTATTCGAACCTATTAGTCTACGGCATTTGTCGCTTAAAACTGCCTTCCTTGTAGCCATTACCTCGGCGCGCAGAATCTCGGAGCTGGCTGCGCTCTTCATTCGGGTGGACCTTTGTATTATACATTCGGACAGGGTCATTCTGAGATTGGATCTAGCCTTTTTACCAAAAATTAACAGCTTATTCCACAGGACGCAGGAGGAGATCCTACCCGACTTTTGCCCGCACCCTAGCCATCCCAGGGAGCGTGTCTGGCACAAACTAGATGTGCGCTGTGATGTGCGGGTGTACAAAAAGACAACGGCCTCCTTTTGCAAGTTGGAATCATTCTTCATTTCATTCCAGCCCTCCTCAAAGGGCAGGAAAGTGTCATCTTCCACCATAGGTTGTTGGCTGCGCGCATGCTTCAAGTTGGCCTACGAACAACAAGCCAGGCCTGTTCCTCCTCATATAACAGCACACTCCATGAGGAGCGCCGTGATGATGGCTGCCTGGGCTACTCAAGCACCTATTGAGGAGATCTGTCAGGCAGCTACTTGGTCCTTGCCGTCTCCATTCATTCGAAATTACAGACTGAACTCCTTTGCCTCAGGTTCCTGCGGACATCCCCATAGTGGATATTCCACACGAGGGCTCTCCATCTCTGGTGGACGAAGGGGACTTTGGTTTTTCTCCCAACCCTTCCAGGGCATTCCCTAGTTCTCCCGATTCCTCCCTAGAAGAGGTGGACATGGAGGAGGCCTGCTTTCTAACGGGGGAGGAGTCTCCCCCTTCTGGCCCTATTTCTGGGATCACTCCTGGGTTATCCCAAGTGATGCAGGAGGTGGTTGCACGGGCGATATCACAGGAGACTGCAGATGGCACCCAACAGCTGGGTCTCACCTTGCCCCTCCAGAACAAGGCCAAAGCTAGGGTGCAGACCATAGGAGCTCACACTCAATCCACCGGAGCCTCCCCTCCTGCTTACTCAGCTGTCAGCGAGGTGTCTGAAGATGAGTTTGCTTAGTCAAACTGACTTTTCACTTGCTTTATCTCCTAATACTCCTCAAAACTGTTAGGGATTGATAACTGAAAAAGAGGCCTTGCAGGAACAATTTGATCCAGTCATATTCTTCCCAGGATGAACCAGATGCATTGGAAACTTTTATTTTATCATTAAGAGAATCCACAACTTCTAAGTCTTTTGATTTTGTTTTCAGCTTGCTAAACATTACATTTACAATATTGCACTCAAAAAAATTTCTAAAGACTTTTGTAGTATTCTCAATTGTAATTGTACTCTAGAATTAAGATTTTGTTATATATACGCTGTTCCTGAAATCATACTGGAAGAATATCATGCTTTCAGGATTGGTAAGTATATATTCAATAGTTATTGGAAGTTCCACTGACTTACATCTTACAATAATATGATTAAATAGATTGAATCTCAGTGCATGATATTTGAAAATTGAAAGTACTACTTTTAGTATGAATTCAAATTTGTTTTGCACAAACGCTAATAGTCACAGTATGGTTCTGGTTCTTTTTGCTCCCAAATTGGAATAACACATAACACAGCTTTTTCCAGAAGGCTATCATACAATTAAATTAGAACTCTTATTTTTCAGAGTTCTATATTGTCAACTTCACATAGTGTTTTACTATATTATACCATCTTTTGGAGAAAACAAATACATGTTGTAAGATGCTAATATATACTTAAAATGATATTATATAAATACAGAGCACCACTACACTGATACCTAAATTCAGTTTTGAATAGAAAATATGAATTTGTATCTTGTGTTCATAATCCAATGGCTACTTAATACAAAACAAAGTTTTGATCAAGCTTGCTAGTGGCATAGAAATTTTTTTACTATGAATTGTTCTCCAATTTGCTGTATAGGTAGCTGTATAGGTGGCAGAGAAGTGGAGTCCCCTGGGCCTTCCTTCCCTCGAAGGCACCTGGGACTCAGTCTATTTAATGATCTGAGAGATTATTTAACAGTTGCAACTGGGAATGGATTCTAGTTGTTAAGTGAAGCATCATGCTGTCTCACAACCATTTTGCTTAACAACTAAAATTCCAGTCCCAGTTGTGGTTGTAAATTGAAGACTGACTATACTTTATAACACATGCATGCAATTGCTCCATTACATCAATAATTGACTAAAAAGTGTAATTATTTCAGTAATCTATATTAGATAGAAAGTATATATGGTGCTTGCACACAGACACACATGTTTGTAACTGCTATATAAAACTTTGTAGTATTTGCAGTGGTTTTTAAAGTCCGTGTTTACTATGGACTTCATCTAATATCATGGACTAGACCTTTTTCTTTTTCCTGTAATGTTGGGATGGTGTGATCTGATGTAGAAGCAATCAATTAAATGACTGGTGTCCAATCACTAGCTGATATTCGCCTACTAACAGGTGGATACAATTAGGTATAATCCCTTCAGTCTATAGGAAAATTCCTTAACATTAACAGGTCAGTTTCAAATATATTCAAAGAATATGTAGAACTACATAACATCATATACTTCTGATGCTTATTCAGCTTATTCTGTTACTTGTAAAATGACATATAGTGTGGCTATCTTTTTGTTGTTGTTTATAAAGAAAATGATGCAACATTCCATTTCATCCTAATGTTGATTTTTCCTCAAAGAAAAGTATCCAGGCTTATATTCTATAATATTATAGAATGAAATAATACACATTTCAGCCAAAAGAGACAAAATTTGGTAAGATTATATTTTTTAAAATAAAGAATATTTGATATTTAATAGATGGTTAAGGAGAATGGCATCTAATCTTTTGTTTGATAATTTCTTTATAGAGTTATAAATTTAATATTGACCAACATCAGTTCAGTTTCATAAGGAGTTAAAACTAAAGATTTAAATAAACTCATTTTTGTATGCATTGCACTGACCTCCCTCTCATTCCCTCCTATTTAAAAGATAATTGACTGGTTAGATAATTAGAAGGAGATTTGTACTTGACAGATGCTTGTAAACATAAGGCTGAAGTTAACTAAGCACTGTTAGTCCTTTGAACACTTGAGTCAGCGTATATTAGGTTATACAGAGCTGTAAAGTAAAATTTGCAATGGCCGGTCCTGTAAAAGGTAATCCATTTTAATTTATTATATTTAAACCTGTTGGTGTATAAGAGCAGGGGGATATCTACATTCTTAAACAGTTGTTTTTGAATCTGAACAAGAAATTGTATTACAAGAAAGAACTATTATATATTCATTTTGGGTTTTCATATTTCTCTGTCTTTCCCCCCTCCCCCTTTGCCAGTTGATGCAGATGAGATTAAACGATTGGGGAAGAGATTTAAGAAGCTTGACTTAGATAACTCTGGTTCTTTAAGTGTGGAAGAATTTATGTCTTTGCCTGAGTTACAACAGAATCCCTTGGTACAACGAGTAATAGATATATTTGATACTGATGGAAATGGAGAAGTAGACTTCAAAGGTAAGAAAAAATTAATTTGCTATACACACATTCAATGTCAGCTTTCACCTAATGTGATAAGATGTAGATTTTTTTTAGTTTTTTAGAATTACTTATAAGCTTCAGTTATTCATGTTCTACGTGATAATATAGCTTTCCAGTTCAGAAATGTTTTGTATTATTAGCTAGGAAGGATTCATATGCTTAATAAATAATTCCTCTGAAATGTTGGAAAGCATTTAACAGTTTGGTAATTGTATATCTGTTTGGGGAAAGAAAAAACGGTTTTGTCTTACTCATGGGTGCAATTCCCTCAGTGGAAACACCTCACTTGATTCAGTTTTTAAAAGTGCTAATCACCATGAGTTAACCCAACTGGAAATTAGCTTCTTGGACAGTTGTGCTACAGTGAAAACCCTAATATCTATCCCTGATAGCATTTCAAATGGCACAGAGATTGCAAAAAAGCCATGAAAAAGTCTTAATACTTAATTGGGTTAGTGTAAAAAGAAGTGATCTTGAAGATAGTCATGATACTTCAGAATTTGAAAAGTTAAAACGTATTGAAGAGTAAAATAAACAAAAGTCCCTGAGCTGTATTTTTTAAAATAATAGTTTAGGAGTATATTTAAATAATTTAAATAATCTGTCATCCTAAAGAAACAGGATTTTAAGCCTCCACATTCAGTATTTTTTATTAGGTCTCTATGATTCCAATATATAATTATGTACTTATACGGAATTTATTTGCAGTCCAGAGATTGCAAATGGACTGCTTGGTGCTAAGTGCATCTCCATATAACCCCAATGTGATGTGACAGTAAAAATATTGTAGTTCAGTTAGAGGGACACAAATTGTATTCCATCCGTACTATGGAAGTTCCTTGTATCACTTCAGACAGTTATACAGATAGTTCTCAATGACTATTCATTTAACAATAATTCAGCTACGATGGCACCGAAGAAAGTGACTTACAACCATCCTTGTATCCTGCAGTCATTTGATCAAAATTCAGGCACTTGACAGTCAGCATTTATTTACAACAGATTCAGCTGGGGGGTTATGTGTTAGCCATTTGCAATTTTCCAGGAGACTTCTGACTAGTAAAGTCAATGGGGGAAGCCAGATTTGTTTAAAACCATGTAATGAACATGCCAATTGCTATACTGTGGAGTACCTAGTCTTTGGAACATCAAGAATCCTCACAGGGCATCACTCATTTAATAACTATCACTTAATGATGGATGTTCTGATGCCAATTATGATTGTAGGTTGAGGATTATCTGTATTCAACCCAATGTGCCTCATGGTATTGATGGGAAAAATTGGATGAAATGCTATGTATGTCATCCTGAGCTCCTGAAGTAAAGATGCCGTATATTTTTGTCATGGGATTCCATAACATACAAAGCATGTACAAAAAGAGGAGAAGGTCAAAGAACACAGGAAAATGAAGAGACAAGAAGATATACTACTACAATAGTTAATAGTTAACAATAGTTGAGACCAACAGAAGAGCAAGAGCCAGAACTTTGTATCCCCTTCAACAACCAAAGCAGTAAAAGAGGAATAAAGAAGAAGTAAATTTTTTCAGATGTTGTTGAACTCTTAACCAGCTCATCACAATGATTTGTCCCATTTGCTAGACCCCTCTTTGGAGGCAATATTTTAGAATGGCAGATTCCATTACTCCTTTCACTTTTTCCAAAACTCATATTCTTCAAGTTGCATGGGAACACACTCATAATTTCTTGAGCATGGTGGAACTTTCTGTTTCAGTAAAAAAAATCCCAAAATTTCAATCACACTATTGGCACTGGAGAAATTGGGGCATAAATGGTGTCAACTTTCATTAGACTGAAAAATACTTCCCCACTCAGTTTTGGTCCAGCCAAAACGAATAAGGATTTAGGCCTTGTAGCCTTCCCAATAATATTTACAGCAATTACAATTCCTAAGGCATGCCAATCTTTTCCATCTCTGCTGCATTGTTATTGCTTTTATTGATACAGATCATTCAGTCTAATTTCAATCTTCCTTTATGCTTAGAGTTTCATTTTAGATAATTTGGGAAGACATTTTCTGAAATGTATTTTCCAAACAAGCTAGCCACATATCAAGATTGCCCAAATCAGGAATCTCCCTGTCTCTGTCTCAAAATCCTTGAGATTGAACTGCTAAGAGTTTTCACTATCTTCTACGATTAATCATTGGACCTTGCAGCATCAAACTTGTTACTACAAGTAGTCCTCATTTAGAGACCACAACAGGGACTGGTAACAGGTTCACTAAACAAAGGAGTTGCTAAGAGAAACTCGCAACTGTGCTTATGATCTTCAGCTTTCTTTTGCTTTACAACCCTGCGTTGGTCATTAATGTGAGGGTTGGTCATAAAGTTACTTTTTCATGACTGTCATAACAGTGAAAGCAAAGCAGTTGCTTAAAAAAGGAGTACCTATAGTCTGATCAACGGACATAATTTTTGAGCAGACTGCAGTTCTTTAATACAGATCATGAAGCGTCCCAACCTTCCATTTCATATTTTCATCTTTCTGCCTAATTATAGTGGTTTTTCAGAATGACATTTTCGGGTCCTAATGCAAAGATTTTTTTCTGTCAGAAATTAAACCGTTATTTTGTGTCCCATAGCTGATTTGGCTTGGCTGTAGATACTTGTCTTTAAAATGTAGATGATAGCCAATAGTTGGATTTTGATGTGCTTAAAATGCAAGGTAAATTATATTTTTCTAATCATTCCCTTTCAACCATTGCTGACAATACACAGACTCCGTTGACTCTTGAATTTTGGAGACCTGTAGGAAGATGAAAAATAAAGAAAGTGTTCTGTTGTGTTGTTCTAAGACCCCTTAACGCTTAAAGGGAGAAATAAGACCACTAACAATAATTACACCTACATCCAGCTGCATGACACTTTTAAACATAGGTAATCCTCAACTTATAACTGCAGTTGGAACCAGAGTCTTGCTTACTGAGCGAAGTAGTCATTTAGCAAGACATATGCCTGCAATCCTGCTACATCTGGTTGTGGCCACTGTGATTTTGCAGTTGTTAAGCGGATGAAATCCCATGTAAATACTGGGTGCCTCTGGTGGGGGAGGTAGCAAGCGAGTTGGGTGGAGTGCTGTAATGTGTCAATTGACCAGAGCTGCCCATGAAAGCCTCAGCTGCTCACCCAGCCATCAACCCAAGCAAAGCTGCCTAGTCCTGGAAAGCCTCATCCCCTTCCAGTCTGCCAGCACAAACAACCCAGACCAAGGGAGGCTTTGCTTGAACTGATAGGCCAGGTGGGCAGTGAATCTTTCCAGGCCACAGCAGCCTTGTTTGCCTTCTGGGACAAGTGAACGATGAGATAGGTAGGTGGAGGGAGCTACAGCATACCAATGGTTGTAAGAGGAGTTGGGCTGCCAAGGATCTGGATTTTTACCACATGGTAACAATTGGAGCTGCTGTAATGATTGTAACTTTGCACATGGGTAATAAGTCCCTTGGTCCACCACCATCATAATTTCAAACAGTTGCTGAAAGAATGGTTGTAAGTCAATGAATATCTTTAAAAGCTGCATTTTCATGTGTCTTCTGAGAGTCACAAGATCTTGTCAAATATGAAAATGCTAGTATATAATACCTAACTCAGCTTCATAAAAACATAAATAAAACTTGTTGCTTTTAAGATTGCTATGGAAGAAAATTTGAGGATATTTTCCAAGGTTTGGGAAGTATAAAATATTTTCTAAATTCTCTGTATACCTGTATTCTATAGAATTTATAGAAGGAGTCTCCCAGTTCAGTGTCAAAGGTGACAAGGAGCAGAAGTTGAGGTGTAAGTATATTATATTTTGTTAACTACAAGCTACTATGCTTTATTAGAAAGTTGTTTTTCTGTTCTTCCCTCACTTAATCTTACTTTATAAGCCATTGTAAATTTTAATATACCTTGGACTAGATAACAATTGAAAGATTCATCAACATGTTTTTCATATTTCTAAGGTGAAGTAAACAGTTTTTACATAAAAATAGCTATGCTAGTACTTTTCCATCCCTCTTTTTCCTTTTGATACTTTGAACAGTGAGATATTTGCTAAGAAATAGTGCATAAAATTGTTTTTAACTCTTCCTTAGCAATAACATATAGGAAGAAATTATACAGTTCCATAGATGTATTTATCTTGCTGTGTTTTAGCAATGAGAATTTGATAAGATATACAAAGTATGTTTTTGATTGTGCAAATTACATCATAGTTTATATAAATTGTGCAAATTACATCATAGTTTTTATAAATCCCATGGAAGTAGGGATTTATATAAAATAAAGTAGCTATTGGTTATTTGTATAGTGATATTAGACTTTTCAATACAAGTCCTTAGAAGATAAATGAGATTACCATTACTGACTTATTTTTAGTAACCTAGAACTAAGGATAAATTTCTTGACAGGGAGAACAAATAACTAGTTGAACAGGTTGTCTCCAGAAATTTGCGGTGCTCTATCACTGGAGATTTTTAAGAAGAGATTGGATAGGCCAGAATGGTATAGGGTCTCCTGCTTGTGCAGGGGGTTGGGCTAGATCTCCTAGGTCCCTTGCAACTGTTATCCTGGTTGAAATGTCAAAACATCCTCTGCTGTGATAAAATCAAAATCATACCTCAGAGTTTTGGAATACACAAAGTGATTAAACAGTCTTATTAGTTAGTTAATGATCTCACTTGCTGACTTTGACCACTAAGATAACAAATACCTAAAAAGCTGCTAAGAATTCACTAAGCTGTTCCTTAGAGCAGGGGTTCGTAACCCACAGACCGCACCCCACTACTGAGCTGTAGCCATCTGGGAATTAGGCCACTCACATACATGCAGCTTGATTCAGGCAAGTGGTGGGCCGGTGTGTGGCTTGTTTACCCCCCCCCCCCAAATCTGGCCATCAAGCCGCAAAGGTTGAGGACCACTGCTTTAGAGCAGATGGGACCATTAGAAAAAATCAGAAAGTCCTTGACTTACAATTGGTGTTTAACAGGTGTTCAATATCACAGCCAACTCCTCAAAAGCTATTTACAACCCAGTCCTGAAGTTATGGCCACTGCAGTACCCCTGTAGTTGTTCATCTTTACTACAGGCCTCCCTGCTATGTCCCCCACCCTAGTCCCCACATGCCTTTCATTCCCCCACCAGGTCCCCACAGGCCTTTCCCCCCACCAGATCCCAGCAGGCCTTTCGTTTCCCTACCAGGTCCCTGCAAGCATTTCCACCCCTAGATCCTCACAGGCCTTTTCCTCCTCTGTTGGGTCCCCACAGACCTTAAGCTTGATTCCCACCCCACCAGACCCCATACCCTCTTCAAATATCTTTTGAAGAGCTCCTGAATCATGCTGCATGACCACATGGCATTCAATCTGCGCATATTGTTCTATCTATCACAGTGGCAATAGCACTTGGTAATACCACTTTACAGTGCTTTACAGTGGTTAACAGAGTCAGCATATTGCCCCCAACGATTTGGGTCCTCATTTTACCCACTTCTGAAGGATGGAAGGCTGAATCAACCTTGAGCCAATAATTCTATTGCAGATCAGAATGGATGAAGAGTTGAGTATGAACAAATGAGAAAACAGGCTAGACAAGGAGGTGTCACAGATAGCTAGTAGGATCAAGAGAGCAAAAAGTTTAGTAAGATTCTTTCATGCTATGATAAATATGGAATTTTAAAAAAAATTAAGAATGTCAAAGCCTGAGTTATACTGATTCACTACGGCAAAATCTCTGAAAACTTTTTCCAAGTTCTCTTAGTAGCTGCATTGAATTGTTTCTGTTAAAATAAACATTCAAAAGCCTCAACTCAGCTTTCCCAGTCTCTCAGAAAGTCTTATCAGAACTGTATTTTTCCCCCTTGGTAGTTGCCTTTCGCATCTATGACATGGATAAAGATGGTTATATTTCCAATGGGGAGCTTTTCCAGGTTTTGAAAATGATGGTTGGGAACAATCTCAAAGATACCCAGTTGCAGCAAATTGTAGACAAAACCATAATAAATGCAGATAAAGATGGTGATGGAAGAATATCCTTTGAAGAGTTCTGTGCTGTAAGTATATTTCCCCCTATCATTGCAGTTAGTACTTTCAGATATCCAATAGTTTATTCAGTTTCTGCTATTTCCCCTTTATTTGGTAGTTTACTTACATCAGAGGTGGGTTGCTTCGGGTTGGGCGAACCGGTAGTGGCGGTGGCTGGAGGCTGGAGGCTCTGCCCACCCACACAGATGCTTCTGAGCATGCACAGAAGCATCACATGTGCACGCGAGCACGAGCAAACTGGTAGTGCTAGGATTTGCAACCCACCTCTGACTTACATGTGTCATCAGGTGTGTGCTTCATAACAATCATGTGTATAAGTATTCTAATACATTTTTTTCAATACCTACCCACCCCCCAGTTCAAAATAATCAGGTTGGTCAGGAAGAATTGAAAGAAACCCAGAACTATGGTTCCTTTCTCCCTGTTATATAATTGGATTCTAGGCCAATTACATTAATTTTATCTAATGTATTAATTAACATACTACTCATCATTTATTAATATTTTAAATCTGATTATTCTGATCCTATTGTTTCATGTCTTTTTAATTCTTACAGTATTTTGTATCAATATTTCAGGTTGTAGGAGGCCTAGATATTCACAAAAAGATGGTGGTAGATGTGTGACTCTTTATGATACTACCCAACACTTTTGCTTTCTTCTCCATCTCTGAAGATCTGCTCAAGACGTCCAGCAATGCTCTCTGTGTATTTAAATGGAAGTATTTTTCTCTGTGAAACCACATTTTCCAACATGAGCCTCATGAAGCCAACTAAGTGTTGTTGAACTTTCATTCTCTCAATAACGCAAGTGTAGCACTTTAAAAGTCTGAAGGACAGCAAAATGGAAAGAGCATATCAGTGTGGTGGAGAAAGGGAAGGGGGTTGTCTTTTTAATTTATTTTTCTCAACTTTTATAACAAGAAAATATCTATCTATATATATGTGTGTGTGTATTTATATATAGATATATATATGTTGTGCTTTCTATTTAGTAGTTAGGCAAGCTTTAATTTAATATACTTGATTTAGGCATAAAACTAGAGTACAAAAGTGCCAAGCAGATTATTATATAGTACAACACATAAGATATACAACTTTACTTTTATGTCACACAGATACACACATGCAGGCAGATATACTTTAGAAGAATATAATGTTTTAATGGATGTTAGGTCAACTTTTTCCTGTGACTGTTTCAGATGTTTATATATTGACTGGCTGAAATAGCATCATTTCCTGTTAATTTATCTTAATTACATTTTTGTATGACAGGAATGTAGATTAGTTTGTGTATATATGTACACTATTTAATAGTATGTGCATGTATATGTACGTACACATACTATTTATGGGTATTAAAATAGCAATGCATGTTATAAAAATTTAATTGCCAAGAACTAGATTGTATGTGCAAAAAATGCTTATGGTCATTTCATATTTTTTTCATTTAACACAGTTGCATAAAATAAACCTAGTAAACATTGGCTCTTTCCATTTAGATAAAACAGTTGTAAACACTTGTTTTTCAGTACTAATCTTGATACAAAAGAGTTTAGGATCATTCCCTAGGATACCTTCTGCAATGAGATTACTAAACCTCTCATGCCATTAAAATATCTTCCAACTATATAGTTTCTCTAAAGCATTTAATATACTAATTTAAGTTGCATAAAACCTGGTAATATTTTATATATGTGTATATAGGTTTATTACACGAGAAACATTAACCTCTGCTATATGGAAGAGGTAAGGTTCACATTCTTTTTTTTTAACGTCCTGATCTTCAGTTGGAGAATTTTTTTTCTAAATTTGTTTTTATCATGACTTGTAATTGACAGTAACTTTATATGTGTGATATAAAAGTAGCAAGGCATGTTATACAATATATAATTCTTTTTCTGCAATGGTACTATTGGATAGAAGAAAATTGTTAGATTTTTAGGATAGTACGCCCTTTCTTCTAGCAATTTTTCTATTTGAAATGTTTTATAATTCGCAGTGGAAAGGCAGGTTGTTCAAACTTAAATCAATTGCCTCCCAGCCAGCCATAGCTGTTCCTTCAATTGAGTGCTGCACATCATGGGCTCTGTCTGTGAGAGAGAAATCCAGGTGCTTGGTGTCCTTGCATGACATGAAGTTTTGCATGTAGATCGATTTGAAATGTTCCTCTTGTTTACATGATTTGCATAATTTAAAAAAGATGTTGCCAAACTTTTGGTAAATGTTAAAACAGAAAATCTCCACTACATGTATCTTTCTTCCTCTGGATCAGTATGTGGATTATAATCCCAACCAGTGGTTGTATTTGTTCCATTGTCAACTGCCATGTGCTCTGCTTCAGGGGGAACTAGTCTTTTGTGAATTTTTTTGTACATAAATATTTGTTACAAATATTTTAGCAATTGCTTTCTATTTCTTAAGTGCTTGTGCATATCCTTCCTGGCATAATAGAAAATAGTGCTAATGTTACTTTCGTACTGGGGGAATGAGCTTTTTTAGGTTGTGTGCAAAAAAAAAAGGGTTATGTTGAATGTTTAGATTTTTCCTCTGCATGCTATACCATACATTGTTGGAAGTATAGGAACCTTCATAATGTATGAATAAAAATAAACTATTTGAACTTTACTGCATGGTGTTAAAGCTTCAGTTGAAAAAAAAAAGAATATTCTGAATTTCAGATCTGATTGTACTAAAATTCGATGCTTTTGTGTATAATTAAATACCTGTAACAATATTTGCCCATTTTTCTCAGTGACAGTTCATTTAAAATCAAGTAACACCTGATTCAACGTTTATAGTGATAACCAGTTCCCAAATTATTTTTTCTTTTGTAGACATGTTAACTATCCTGTATTAGTGAATAGAACAGTAAGATCAAGACACATTAAGCTGTAATTTTATGGAAGTTTTTGGCTTATGAGAGAACTTTATTTGGTCAGTTTTATTCTTAGTTCCATAGTAACACCAATTTTATTTTAAGCATAGCATTTTTTCTAATTTTGCAATCTTGACTCATTGCACATATAAGGGAAAGTTCCATCTGAAAGATATCTGCTGTAAACATCAGGGAATAATGAATTCAGGATTGAATACATGTACTTGTCCATGCCTATTTCAACACAGAATCTTATACTTTATAAAAACAATATCTTAGATCGAAAGAGCCTCGTGTACAATTTAAGAATCCCCTTGAATCTGAAAATTGGGTTTTTCCTGTACTATTTCTGAAGCTATTACAAAACTTGAGGGGCTGTAACTAAGAACTGACACCATACATACAATATGTATGTCAGATACTCAACAGTCTTGAATTTACACAGTAGTTTTAAGGACTGGTTTGTGGTACTAAAATTATAAATGTTGCTATGAAAGGATCTTTAGTTTGTTATAAGCAAGCCCTTATTAGCATCTGTATTCATGGGGTAGGACATTTTTTGTTAGCTTTTTGCAGAATCTTGCAGCAAAAAAAAAGCTGTAAATTGTCTACATATTTGGGCCATGAAATAATACAAAATGGGTTGAGATCTAGAAATGCTTTGATGCCAAATTACTAAAAATTACACATTAACGTGAAGCAGAGGTCCTGCAAGGCTTGTATTTTTTTAAAAAAAATAATGGATAGATATTCAGGTCCTGAGAGCCAGTTTGGTGTAGTGGTTAAAGACATTAAGCAGAGACTGAGTTCTAGTCCTGCTTTAGATAGAAAGGCAGGTAAGTAACTCTGGGTCAATTCCATTCTCACAACTCTTCCAGAAGAGTCAAGCTACTTCCCAAAATGTCTGCCAACAAAACAGCACACTCTTCAGGTCAGGAGTCAAGATTAATTTGAAGGTGTAAGTCCACTCCCATTTTTGCTTGAGATTTCTTTGGTGCCCTCTCAAGTCTAGTTTGCATTCTCTCTATGCTGTAGAATTATAAAGGCAGATTGGGGCCGCCATGGCTCACATAAGATGCTGGGCCTGTGCACTGCTGAGGCCAGTGGCTCGATTCCCCTTAAGCGAATAAATCACGTAGGGACAAGGAGCCTCCCCCGATTGTCTACCAGCATTCAGGGGTCCTGTGGGTAAAGGTAACACCACTCCAAAAAAAATTCCTTTCAGAGACAGGCAGCCACCTCAATGATCCCTGGCTAACATGTGCCATACATTAAACAAAGGTAGGTGGTCCTAATGCAAAAGCAACTCTAGGATCTGCATCTCTCCCTCTGTAATGTCACAATATTGGAAAAAAATCTTATTTCTCTCTTCTTCCAAGAAGGGAGGTTATCAACATTGTAACAGCTTTTTCCCCTCTTCTACTGAAAAGTTCTTTGATAAGGGAAAAACATTTAGTTTAGTAGTCTTTTAACCATAAATATATTTGCCTTCCAACTACGAGCAGCCCCATTCTGTTTTTTTTAGAATAGTCCCTTCCCCGGCAATCTCTTCATACCTTAGTATTTTAAAAGAGTTGAGAATTTCTGAGTACAATAGTGACTCGCAGCATACTATTCATAGCTGCTGTATTCGGTTAACCCTGTATCCATTCAATTCAAAAACTGACATTAATCATGTTAGAAGGAAATTCAAGTACCAGTTTTTATTGGACATAACTTCATTTAGAACACTTGATAATAGATACTTGCTTGAGAACATTGCTGTGGCAGTTCTATTATATACCAGCCATGTTGGAACTGAAAATTGCTACCAGTTTACTAGGGATGTGAAAAATATTCCATGCATGGAACTGCTACTTTTGAGTGGCCTAGGCATGAATTAATTCAGAAAGGAGTGTTTTGGGGCATGGGAGAAAGTGGAAAACCCAGGAATATTGGTGGCAACAGGAAACAAAGTGCAAATATCAGGAATGAGCTGCTGAAGTGGGTATTTCCACTGGAAGCTAAAGATGTGGCAGTAGCTAGCGAGAAGTTGGGCAAGGGAGACTTTGGGAAAATAGATAGGTAGCCTGCCACAAGCCAGGAAGGGGAAAAGGCCCGGCATATCGGCCTTGCCCAATTTACCCTTAAAATCCTTCTGAATTTTGTTTCAGCCCAAACTCTGGACAAACAAAATATTCCAAATTTTGGTGTGGCTGAAATGCCATCCACTTGAAATGGCTTAGCAGAGCTTCTGAAACACAATGTGTTTGTTTTGGGTTTTAAAGAAAAGCACACTTTCTAGTAATCAGTATTTTGATATTGCTTCCTTCAAGTGTCTTCCAGTATCTTGTGTAGAAGTGTGTGACTTCAAAAACCATGGTCTTAAAATCTTTCTGCTGTTCTGCTTGCTACTGCTCTAATATTGCCATAAACTTTAGATGGAGGACTTCCTGTAGAAGAAAAAAGTACATTAATACAACTGATTTATAGATGATACAATGTTTTTTAAAATACAGCAAAAGATCTAGTTTTAATTAGTATAATAAAATCTATTAATAAACTTGATTTAAAAATAGAATTTTAGTTTGCAAACTCTTATAAGGCTGCTGTGTCATACATTCTTCTGAGTGAGATGGGCATTGTAAAAACGTATGTGTATGTGTGTATATATATGTATGTATGTATGTATGTATGCATGCATATATATATATATATATGTGTGTGTGTGTGTGTGTGTATACACACACACACACACACAAGTTGGTACAGCTTAGGCCTTTTTCTAACTAGAATACCCCTAAATGAAAACATAGTAGTTTACATTAAATATAAAATTCTATGTATTTAGGTTAGAATTTAGATGTCAGATGCAGAACAAGGGTAACAGTGAAGGCCACTGATGAGCCATTAGTTTGATGATATGAAAAAAAAATTACTTCATTTCTTGCTCCAAAAATGTCTTCCAGTGTGACATATGGAATGAAGCAATTTGTGCCATCCCAGTTTTTCTGTGTTTGATTACCTACTCTTAAAAACTGAGTTGTATAGAGAAACAGTTAGTAGTTATGTACTTACGGCTCCTGATCCATTGATCAGTTTATAGTCCTTTATATTATCCCTTTCCCTCATAGAAATGTCAAGTTACATTTCTCTAACCAAAAGCACTTGCTACTTGCAAATCTTTGCTCATTAACTGGCATATTCAAAATATAATGTTAACAAAAGGAATACAAGTTTTACCTAGAATGAGATTGCAAATGGCTGTCCGTGCCATTTTAATGTTCTGGAAAGATCCTAAAATGTGAACTTTCCTGTAATTAAAATTAAAAGATCTCTTCACACATGTTTAAGATACCGAACCTCTGAATTTTTATTCACTATACAATCTTATATAGCACTTTTATATATGTTTATACAAAAGCAGCTCCAAGCTAAATTTACTTTCATAAGGACAAGTGTCAGAAATTGGATCTACTTTGCCTTTCAAAATGTTCATCACATGATGCCATTGCCATTTATTTCATTTCACATCCACTTTCCTGAACCTCTGCTGGAACACACTGAATATCTGGAGGCTCATTAGCTCTTCAATATTTGCTTCTCTCATTGCATTATAATACAATTACCATTCTATTTTTAAATGTAGTTAGACAACTCATTACCCTTTGGATCATTTCTAAGATCCTTGCCATTTTCCTTAATATCTTCAATAATGGCAGAACTTTTAATGTACTTAAAAAGTTCTGAAAATTCAAAGAGATATTTAGAGATATATCTGGCTTGAAAGTAACTCATGTTGAACTCTGTGTATCATAGTAAACATCAGAAGTTGCTCACAGAAAATATTTTATGACATTTTGTATAGAATGGCTTATGATTATTTTTATCTCATGTTTTATAAAATTTGCCAAATTTCAATTCCATGGGAGTTATGGCTCTGGATTTTGGATATATTCTGTAAATTAGCTAATTTGAGGTACTTTGACTCAAAATCTATTGCCCTATGATGTTTCATCATAGATACAGCTGCTATAAACACTGAGACACCCACATATACACCTGATTGTGATATTAAACAATTTGAAACAATGCTCCTAAACCTTTTCTATTGCTACATGTTTTTTTGTAGTATGTTGGCTGATGATGGCTACAAATCTTGAAAGCTTGAATATTTTTGGAATCTCTGAGCTGATCAAATCCAGGCATTATCATTATATGAGTAATAACTGCAGCATATCTAGAGGATTCATCTGCCACAAGTGATGCATGCAAGCATATCAATTTGTATATATACTACAGCCAGAAGATACACTGTAAAGTCCTTAGGGAGATATTTTAGAAACATGAAATATAAATGTTTTGTGTTTTCAAGGCAGTATTTAAAAGATCATCTTGATAGTGTCTTATTCCTGGGTATTTATCAGTAGGATCCAATAAATTGAAGATTCAGTTTTAATATATCCAGCATGTATAATAAGCATGGCAAAATTATAGGCTCTGCAATTGCTTAAAAACACACAGGGCTATTATACTAAAGCCTGGAAGTTTATTAGCCAAGATTCAAAATTTAAAAAATTGGGAACTGTATAAAACTTACGAATCTGCAAGAACTATTCGTGTCCTTGTTACATTTTCAATAGTAAATTTGGTTTTTCCTCCTTTTCCAGCAATTCTTCCTATTGCTCTTGAAAGATGATCTCCTTTTAAAGGTTTGACTAAAGAGAAAATGTTGTTTTAATTATTTGCCTTTTCCCTGGGCCATTTGTTGGAATCCAATGTGATTGCTAAATCTGAGTACTGTTCAGTTAAGAATAAATGAGATCCAGTTATTTTTTTAAAATATATATTTCAAAAAGATTCACAAAGTTCTACCACTTATTCTCTCCATATTTTAATGGACAGGATTCTACCATTTTCTCAACACTTGTCTCAAGTACACTAATGAAACAAGGCAACCCACAGAAATGAAATCCAAATCTTTGTTGATATAGATAGTGTGCTAATAAATAACATTTAGAAATATATATGTATACATATAGAGAAACAACATGTTTTTGAGACTGCTGAAACTAGAATAAATTCCATAACTCAATCACAAATCATTATTTTAGTAACAACGATATACTTTCAACAATGGTTTTGCTGTTCAATCTGTATTAAAGATTCTTATGATAACTCAGCAGAAGGCCTAACAGCTACAATACACAATAGTTGATCCTTTAAAATTTCAATATATCTTGAAATCCACAAGGAAAGTTACAAATGAAGGCTGGCTGGCAGTTTTAACTGAAAAATTGTTCAACTAAAAATTAATCGGTGTGAAATGATATTTCAGACCAAACAATGTGAATACCTGTTTCAAAATTATTTTCAGGTTATTTCAGATGTATTCCTATCAATGAACAACAACAGTTCTATATGCATCTCACATCCCCTAATACCCATTATTGTTCTGATCTTTTGATATATTGATTTTCATACTTACCATCTGTTACTTCAAATGATTCTAGAAAAAGCTCATCTAATCTGATTAATGCAAGTGCATCCTGAAAGAGAAAACATACAATGTTTTTTAAATAACCATGATTTTTAAAAATACAGGATCAAAAACAGTCACTAGTAAGTCAGCATATGGATTTCTCTAGCTTTGCATTACCAAAACACAATAAAATAGATTAGAAATCTGAAATAATGGACAATAATACTAAGTTCCCTTATATGCACACTTATATAAATAATTCAACAAATACCTGCCACTACATATTACCATTACTACATACTATCCTGCAAGTAATCAATTGGCAGGAAATTACCTGCCAATTAAAATGTTCTTATCCCATGGGTTTTACCATCTCAAAATACCTTCCAGACGGTTTCCCAATTTATTTATTTATTTATTTAATAGACACTTCATCTTTATTGCATATGAAACCTCAACTAGAGACATTTATTTAGTAAGCTAATTTATATAATTGCTGCTATCACCTAGGTAATGTATAAAAGGATAAAAAACAGAAAAAACACATTACAAATAAATGTAAACATTTTCTGTACAGATTTAGCAATTGGGATCACAAAATATTGAACCCCTCAGCTAATTATCCAGAAAGGACAAAATTCTCCCTCCCCACTCCATGAAGACACTTCTTAGATCTTTTCATTTCAAGTATCAGCAATATTCATTCATTCAATATTCATACAATGAACTATCGTAGAGGAGAACTTACCTCAACTTGAAATCCTAGTATAAAAGCTTTTACAAAATCAGCTGCTTTTGTCAAAGCACCTATGTCTTTTGTTTCTTTACAAGTCTAGAAAATAAAATAAATCTTAAAATTTAGGAAGTGATCCTTGGGGAGATTCATAAAATATTACATGAAGCACCACAATCAACTCCTAATATTTAATTCAAATCTAAATATCAATTTATAAGCTATTAACACAATATTCTATTGCTTCTACTATATACGACTATATTGACACTAATGAATTTAAAAAACCCTCCAAATCTGTATGGGAAGAATTATTATAAACATATTCTATATTGTGGTTGCCTAAAATGAATTGATACATTAATTTCCAACCATTTAGAACTGACTTTTCCAACTCTAATAGAACTAAAATGCTATTTTAACAAACTAGCAAGATGCCCATTTTCTGAGATTAATGAAAGAAACTAATTATTAAAGCATTCTTTACAGATTCAAATACAGATGTCAAATATCACTGGGCCAAAATAACTAGTGAAGTCGTGAATCAACATATTGATCTATTCTTCCACATTTACCAAGGACAAAAGCAGAAGTAGGAAATTTTTGTTTATCCTTGCCAGTAACATCCAAGTATAATTGCAATATAATTTGCTACTATCAAATCTGAAACATGTTCTGGGTGCCAACCAGATAAAAAGTTCTCTTTGTGAAAGATCTGCAGAAAGTTATAGGCTCCTATTTAAACAATGCACATTTGTGTTATCTACTGTATATTTGAGGATTATTTATTTCATTGGAATGCTTTCTCACATAATGTAGCATTGGATTATTTGGAATTTTTATTGATCAAAATAATGACGTTTATTAAGGCTTACTGCATTAAGGTGATAATTTGTTTTAACAAAATATTTCTAATGCTAAAAAGAAATTTAGAAGTGATTTTTTCCCAACAGCAGACACAAATACAAGATAGTAAATTTTCAGAAATACTAGACTTATTATTTACCTTTATCTCTACATTCCTTGTTTTTAAATTAAATCTAATCTGAAGCTGCAAATGTTCTACAATTGGTGTAAAAATTTTCATCCAGTTCTCTTTCAAAGGAGTATATCTATTTGCTGGTACAGGAATTTTTCTCAATTCACCTTTTCCACACTAGAAAATATAGTAACCATCACAAAATAAAATGTTAAGCAAATAAAATTATTCAATATATTCATTTTATTTATCACAGTTTACATAGAATAAGCTAAAGAAAATATAAGCAATGTAAATAGTTTTTTCTAATATTAGGTATATCAGAGATTCTTGCCTTTAAAGTTCTACCGTATTCAAAATTAGAGAGCTGTATGTTTATGCTATTATTAGCTGTATGTTTATGCTATTATTAGTCTCTTAGTCTATCTTATACAGATCTAATAAAAAAACCTGATTTCTATATACGCTATGTATGATGAACTCAGTCACCCTATAACAGTACACTAAGGATCAAATAGAAATTTGTTAAGAGACACTAAAGTAACGTAAAAGGATAAAATCCTTTGCTTCCAATCACAGGGCATTGCAAGTAACAACCAGCAGTTTATCTTGCACCAGGAAGCATACTGGCCACCAGTGCAACTCACAAAGCAGAGGTGTTACCTGGGCATACTAAGGCAGGCCCATCACTATTTGTGCCACTGCATTTTGGACCAGTTGAAAGTTTCCAAGAGGTTTTCAAAGGGCAGCCAATTGTAGAGTGTATTGCTGTACCTAAGCCATAAAGTGCCTAGAACATGAATGGCCATCTGAACCTCCATCCCATCCACCTCCCTCCAAGAAAGGGAGAACTCTACAGGTGCACAAGGATGGGATGCACCACCACCATCCTGGCTCTGCCACAGGTCATTGACAAGGGCGACTAAGACTTATCTCAGTACTAAATCCTTGCCTGAAATCTAATTTGGATTTCCACCAAAATAGCTTTTCTCTCCGAATGAACACCAAAGGGAGGAATGGGAAGATGGGGGGGGAGGGTGCCTACATTCTTACCCACCCACCTTACCCACCCACAATGTAATTATAATAAATCAAGCTGAAGGTTAAACATGCGCTTAAAAACGGAGTAAGCCACGTTCAACTGGAATGTGGCATTGAAACGCCCGCAGCTTAACCATTTGTAAATGCTTGCCATTCATATTTCAAAACGCAATGCCTTTCCATCGAGAAACGGGAGGGGAAAACGTAACCTGCTCCTAGGCATTAAGAAGGGATTACTTACGGCGAGGGCTTCCCCGCTAAGAGGGGGGAAATCCGGCCGCTTCCGAGGCACCGGGCTTTCGTTCGTGTCCATCTGGGGCTCTCGGCGCCTCTTCCGCTTGAGGACCGTCGTGAAGCCTTCTTGGGGACTGTGCGTTTCCATCTCCGTCGGCAGCCGCTCTTCACCAGAGCTTTCCATCTCCATGCTTCGCCGGATCTATCTAGCACGATATCGACAGGAAGAGGCGGGGCTGCGTCTCGGGACACGTAAGACGGCCGCTATAGAAGCCTTCCTTTTCCTCCAGATCTCACTCTATGGTTGACTTTCCCCGTACCTGTTCCGCCCTATACTGGAGAGAAACAGGCGGCCTAATCTTGCTCCCCTCGCTCCCTTGCCTGGGAGTTTCAGGTGGAAAAGTGGTGCTGCGCAACAAACCTCGGAATCTCTATGACAGAGGTCTTCAAACTTGGCAGCTTTAAGACTTGTGGACAGCTAGGCTGACTGGAGAATTCTGGGAGTTGAAGTCCACAAGTCTTAAAGATGCCAAGTTTGGGGACCTCTGCTCTATGATCTAGTACCCCGGATGTGTTGACTTTCCGCCGCTTACGCATGTGCAGAGACGCTGAAACGGGGAGGGGGTGGGTGGCGAAGGTTCCGGCACCGTCGGATGCCGTTGGGCGTCAGGGGCGGGTTCTTGCCGTCATGTCGGCAGGAGGCTTGCTGGAGAAGCCGCAGATCATCGCGCATACACAACACAGCTTGAATTACACTGTATTCGATTGCAAATGGGTGCCCTGCAGCGCTCGCCTCCTTTGCTTGGGCAATTTCCCGCGCGGCACCGGCGTCATTCAGCTCTACGAGCTGCAAGGCGGCCGCCTCGTCCTCCTCCGTGAAGTAAGGAAGGGAACAAAGCACCGGGCTGCAGCCCCGGTTCTCCCGCAGGAGCAGCAAGAAGCCCATGAATACCAGCCTCACTCCCAGCAGCGCATACTTGCCAACCACGGTGTTAATTTTGCTTCCTTGCCCAGGCCTCGGAATGCTTTCCTGGGCTTAAGTAGAAGCTCAACCGTGGATTCCCTTAGTTTTGTTTTTTTCCGGCTGAGATCGAGGGATGATATATTAATTCCAATAGAAGAGAGAATATGTGTAGCTCAGGGTTGAACTACCAAGTCCTTGTGCTCTCTGGGCTTGATTGTTTGCACGCAGGTGTTTCATTACCCAACTAGGTAACATCATCAGTGCTAGTGAGTGTGGGGTTTGCTCCCTCTTCATGTACAATAACATGCCCTATTAGAGTTGGTGGGATGTGGTTTTCTCTTTGGTAGTTCCTTGATTATAAATTTTTTTGCTTTATTGTTTGCTTAGTGTTAATCTCTGCGTATCTAGATGTGGGTTACTGGAGGGAATGCATTCTGGTCCTTTTTCCTTTTTTATTGTCTTTTGAATTGTATCTAAATGTGTCTGCCTATTTTTCTGTATGTGTGCTTTAATGAGGTTTTACCATTTACCAAATGAGGTATCTCAGGATTGAGGTCTTGTGTGAATTATATACGTTTATCAAGAATTAACATCAGGAATTGGCCTCTATCACTCTTCATATACTTAGTAAAGATTGTCCTATGTTGGGGTCACCCACATTCATTTTCTTACAAGTAGGATGCCTGGAGTTTCTGTCCCCTGGCATTTAATTGCAATGTAGCATTTGTACAGAGTCAGAAGCATGATCCAAATGCATGCACAAGGAGGAATAGGAAAATGGCTTAAAGATTATTGATCATTTCAGTATTAACCTTTTAATACTGGAAGGCTCAATTCCAATTAATAGAATACATACAACTGCCCCTTAGAATAAATAGTGAAGAAACATATATAGGTAGTTCTCGACTTAAAAGCATTCATTTAGTGACTTCAAAGTTACAATGGCATTGACTTATGACCATTTTTCATACTTATGACCATTGTAGCATCCCCATGGCCATGTGATCAAAATTTGTATGCTTTGCAACTGGTTCATAGTTATGACAGTTGCATGTGATTTCATGTCATGTGATCCCCTTTTGCGACCTGACAAATTCAAGGGGAATTCAGATTCATTTAACAACCATGTTACTAATTTAACAACAGCAGATTGAAAAACAGATTCACTTAACAACTGTTGCAGGAAAGATGGTAAAATGCAGCAAAACTCATTTAACAACTGTCTTACTTAGCAACATAAATTTTGGGGTCAATTGTGGCCACAAAGACTATCTGTGTTGACATTAGTATCTTTTAGTTATGGCAGCACCCAGTATTTGGCAAAGCAGTATGTGTTAAGAAATGAGTAATAAAGAATGCCACCAGTGCTCACCATGGAAATAGGCATTAACTGTTCTTGTATACATAACACTCTACTAAACACAGTGCAGTTAATTACTGTAGCCATAGCAGTGCAAGCAGTGCAAGAGATAAACACTATCTATTGGTCTTAAAAAGCTTTAAGGACAAATAAAATCCTTTTCTATAGTACAGATTAACAAAATACAATAATTAAATCCTCACAAGGAAACACATCACTTTTTGCTACTTCAGGGAAAATGAAATTAGGTTTTAGTTGTTGTATTACTTTCCAAAAACAAGCATATTTATAAGAGCCTTTGTTTTAATATGAATGGATTAGCATGAATGGCATTGATGAATTGTTGGCAGAGTTGAAATGGGGTATATCTACTTTGAAATGAAGTGTTCTCTAGAAGATCTACATCCTTTCCCTAAACTAGCTGGATGGGTTAAATCAATTATATTAGTATTGTAATGCCAAGTTTTGTTTGCAACTGAAGTGCATGCAAAATATATTGGCTGTGAAGAAAAGTATGTGGAAAAGCACAGAATGTTAGTATATATCTTATAAGAAATGTGGGACAGGGATCTATATTTTTTGTGGACTTAAAAAAAACCCAATCATCTACAAAAACATAATAAATGTAAGGTTGGGGAAAAATAAATAGATGAAGTTGCCCATATAAAGTGGAATTGTGAAGACAAACAACAGAGAATATAATTGCATGTTTTTACAGAAGCAGTTCATCTTGTCTCAAAAGTTATATGAAAGAATTGCATCTTAACTTGATTTTCTGTAAAGAAATTGGATTTTATGGATCTGGAAAACTTGAATGTTGATCATTCAGAATTTAATGGTATCTTTCTGTGTATAAATTTATAGATATTAGTCCTGTTAAACACATGTGTGATTTGTATGGTAGTTCTCGACTTAGAAGCATAAGCATAAAATTTCCATTGCTAAGCAAAACAGTTAAGTGAGATTTGCTCCATTTTACAACCTTTCTTGCCCCAGTTGTTAAGTGAACCATTGCAGTTGTTAAGTTAGTAACATGGTTGTTAAATGAATCTGGCTTTCCCGTTGAGTTTGTCAAAGTTGCAAAATATGATCACATGACCCTGGTACATTGCAATCCATTATAAATACATGCCAAGTATCCACATTTTGATCACATGATCATAGGGATGCTGCAATAGTCAAGTGTGAAAACTCATCGGAAGTCACTTTTGTCAGTGGTGTAACTTTGAATGGTCACTAAATGAATGGTTGTAAGTTGAAGACTTACCTATATTTAGAAGGTTGAGATACGAATTGCAATTAAGAAATGACTTCACACTAAAAGGTGTGATTTACACCTTTTTTTTTTTACAAATTAAAGAGGTTTAGTAGTAATCTGTAAAAGCAAGCAGTATACTCTTGTTTCTCAAAAAATTAAATTTGAAATATATCCTGTTTATTTTTTCAACTATGGAAAATTTGATGGCAGCTTCTATTTTTTCTGTTTCATGTCTATTTAGATTATGCATTTAGAAAGTACGAGGCTAATAATTTGTAAATAGATTCAGAATAAATTGGAGAAAATAAAGGAGAAAGTGCATGGGAGAGGCAGTCTTTATGCCTTTGCAATGATAAGATGCTTTGACTTATTTAGAATTCTTCCCCAAAAAATGTGTATAGAATTGCAATTTTTGTATCGCAAAAGCTAATTATTAAAGTCAAACATGTTCATTCATTTGGACCCTAATGGAACTAAAAAAAATGTGTTTAGACAATGTTTGACTCTAATATTATCTAACAGGTAGAATAAGACATAAATTGAAAATAATAATAATTCAGTGTAAACATTTCCCTACTTCCAGATTGAAAAATCACGACCTATTAAATGTGCAACCTTTGGGGCTGCTTCTTTGCAACAAAGATACTTAGCTACTGGAGATTTTGGTGGAAATTTAAATATATGGTAAGAAATGTTCTTTTTGCAAATTTTAAAGATATGGCCTTATCTTTTATTTGATAACTTAAAGTCATTGTAAAATCAGTATTGTTCACTGTCTTAAATATGCATAATTTAGAAGTGTTAGGTTTTTAGACAACAATAAAACTTTTACTTTGAAGAAGACTGAATTAATTTTATTATCTTTTATGGCTGTCTTTTTCTGAATCTTCCAGCCACAATTATAAAATATATTTTTAAGCCCAGGTTAATTTTCAGACCAATCTGTGATGCAGTGCAAGTAGTCCTGATTTATGGTTGATCACTTACTGATCATTCAAAATGGCAACCTACCTGCAAAAGGGGGCTATGACCGGGTTCTGAGGTTCTGACAGCTGCTCCTCCCCATCATATGTCCACACTTGGAGTGCTCCACAGCATGGCTGGTTGGTGACATGACCGAACTGATTTATGACTGTTAGAACATGTGATTGTAATGGGCAATTTATGATTTAGGACCGTTGTAACGTGATTATAATGGGCAGGCTCCATTATGGTCATATGTGAAGGACTATATAATAAATGTTTGTAAAAACATTTTTTTAAACCTTGCATTGTAACTAAACTATAATTTTATATCTTCATTTTACATCATGGGGGTATTAACACATATTTTCTTTCGACTTCTGCCATGTTTTAAAGAAGAAAAAGCTTCATGTTAGTATTCAGTATTCTATATAGTAAAGACAAATGAGTATGCTGTATTCTGCAACTGTTACTATCTTGCCATTGGTTCTTTCATCAGAAAATTTATAAATGGCACTAGGTAACAATTTGATGACTGGTGTGCCATGTATGAATAGATGAGCCTAGTTTTTAGATTTACACATTAAAAATAGTTCAGAAGCACTTTGAATCTTTTGCAAACATGTTTCTCTACTACTCTGTAAAAGCAGTCGTCTTTTTGAAAGTTTCTATATGATTCTTAAAAAGGTGGTTACTTCAAGAATGATATTTATCTTAATAAATTGGTTCCTTAAAGGAGCTGCATCTTTTCTCCAATCTTATGTAAAATTCTGAACCACCCCCCCCCCCGACTATTTTAATGAATAATAGAGAGGTACTGTGACCTCAGGAAGACAGAAACATTTCTCCAGAATTATTTTCTAATGCATAGCTGTACTAAGTATATTGAATGTTACATTTCTAAGTAGATTTACTGAGAAATATAAATACATGATCCTGATCTTGTGTTGGATATTAAGCAGATTTTATGGATTACCAGGAAGTGTCATGGGAAATAGGTCAAATTAGGAAATTATAAAACTTTCAAAAAGATGAGAATGACAAACTCCTTCCATATTGCCATCAAGAAAACTGTGGTATCCATGTAGTTGTGAAGAGATGAACTCTAGATGAAGGAGATGTTTATGAACAAAGTAACAATTCCATTTCTGTTGTTTAGGAATTTGGAAGCTCCAGAAACACCAGTATATTCTGTGAAGGGGCATAAAGAAATCATAAATAGCATTGATGGAGTTGGTGGTCTGGGGATTGGTGAAGGAGCCCCAGAAATTGTGACAGGAAGTCGTGATGGTAAGTTAGTTCCCTTGCAATGCCATCAAAGGCGAGAACAAGGGAAGTAGATTAGAATAGAATATACATAATTTAAATCTGTAAAACCTGCAATGGTATGAATTAACTTTGATTTTAAATTTAAGATCATCTTAACTTTAAATTGAATGGAAAATACATAGTGATGAGTTCCTTATGGTTTTTTCCCCATCAGACTATCAAATCTGAAAATCTGGATTCACATGCTATAAACAGGCAGTTTCAATGAGTAATACATTTGGTTTGCATTCAATACCAAATATTATGATTTCTCCTGGAAATGATACAGTTCCTTGGCTGAACAATATAAACAATATAATCTTCAGTGAGCAATCCCTGTGAACATAATAGAAAATCTTAATTCTGAAATAGATTTATAAGTATCTTAGGACTTCTTATATCTTAATACCTATTTTTCTTAAACTGAGAGATGAAGCCTCATGCAAAAAGAACAAGCTAAAGCAACTTTTCAGTAAACCGTTTTCTAAGAATTAAAACCACTGAATATTTTAAGCATTCAATTATTTGAATGCCTATTTCTGAGTTCATAAAATGGACTACATATACTACTTTTGCAAATGAGGTATTTTAGGGATAGAAATAATTGTGTGGCAGCTTATTGGTAGGACTAATACTTCTATGATATCTAATGTTTCATGAGTTATATATAATAATCACTTCTTAAATGGGCAGTAAATTCTGTACAGTACATGTTATCTTAAAAACAAATTCCATGTATAGATATTGATGGTGAGAAAGTGAAAAAATTTTTTTAAGAGGCATCTCATTGTTAAAAAAACAAACAGCGTGAGATAAAAAAATATCCCTTTACCTCTTATACTCTGCCTAATCCCCCCACCCCTTGAAAAGTTGAACAGAGTTAAAAACACCAGGCACATAGGATATTGTATTAACTATCCATGCCTTGTGGAGTAGGCCATTGTCCTGGCTCATTTGGCATGAAGTCTGCTCCCAGCTATTCGCTGGCCTGGGATTGGTGGATGGGTTGATTTTGACTTCAAGAACAATGGTATGGTCTTAGCTTTTCCTATATAATAGCTTCAGAGCTGCTAGAAGGAGACCAACCATCTCAGTAGAGGGAGAACAAGATTGATACAAAGTTATAAAAAGAGAGACAAACAATTTTGAGTTCTTGAGAAAAGATGAAATATAAACCTAACAAATAAATATGGATGGGAGAGAACATGTAAAAAGAAGATGGAAGAATGAGAATCTGTGTCCATATGTTGACCATCATCTTCCTGGCAATTTCTCTAAATAGCAGAAGGTAATATTTTGTTCCTGGCATGTCTAGTTGTATACCTGCAGCTTCAGCAAATATATTTGCTGTAGATTTTTCCCCCTAGATGGGGTAGCAATTACTCTCTCTGGTGGGAGGCAAAAGCAACAATCCTTATTCAGAATTCTGCATGCTCTTTTGAATAAGTTTTTGAACCTTAGTTTATTTTTTTTCATATTTTGTAAAAAGCTACTGTGTGGCTACATCTCAGGCTTTGTAAAACGATACACAGCTTTGAAATAAATCACTGTAGGTATTGCTATAAGCAGAAGATCACTGAAGTTCAATGTTCATGCTTCCTGTAAGATATTAATACATGTTTTCATATGTCAGCTAATGAATAAATTTGGTTGCATATAGTTTAAAGAGAAGACAAGTTTTTCTGAACAGTTCACACTTCATGGAGACTATGACATAATAGATCTGGATTGCATCCAAACATTAGAGCAAGAAAGTTAATTTGGTCAGCTTTCTCAAACTCTGCAACCTCCAAATATGATGGACTAATTTTCCACTATTCCCAGCCACAGCCAAGTTAGCTGGGATTCTTAGGAAAGGTAGTGCTGCTTGTTTGGAGGCCATTAGATTGGCAAAAACTGATTAGATCTATAGGTAATATTTTATTGATCACAATTGAGAGCAGAACTTCCATTGCTAAGCAATGTGGTTGTTAAATGAGCTGGGTCATTAAGTGACTGAGACAATTGTTAAATGAATCCAGCTTCCCTCATTGACTTTGCTTGTTGGAAGCACCTAAGAAAGTTGTAATTGATGATTGTATGACCCAAGGATCCTGCCACTGTTGTAAATATATGCTAGTTGCTAAGCACCCAAATTTTGATCAAGGAACTGGGGGAACATTGCAGTAGTCATAAGTTTGAGGACTGGCCATAAGTTACTTTTTCATCACTGTTGTAACTTCAGTCATTAAACAAATGGTTGTAAATCAAGGAATACTTGTATTTAGAGAATTTTAAAAGTATGACCTTACCTTATAAAGTTTTTTTCCTGTGAAATTGATTTATCACTATTACCACATTTTTTAAACAAGCAAATATTTTTGGAATATCAATGATAACAAGCTAGAAATTTATTTGTAATACAGCGGATTCTGAAGGATTGAAACAGAACAATGTTACAACTCCAACTAAGCAGATTAAATTTGCTGATCATTGCAGTTTATGCCTGACATTCCATAGACATTTTTCACTCACATAAAATTGGTAATGGTATTATAGGCCAGCCTTTTTCCATGTGAGAGTCCTCAGTTGCCATATGATATGGTTACAAGATTCTGCAATAAGATCTACATATGCTGTATGTTCTATTTTGAGTCTCCATCGAACAGGATTTTCACATAAGTCATTAGAGAGCTGGAACAAACTGATAGCTACATGTATGAAATGAAAAAGAGAGAAACACAAAATAAGACAGTTACGAAAATCTAAGACTGATTTATAAAGTATATTTAAACTGGTGGTATTTGGCTGACTTTGTCTGGGAATAGAAACATTCAGATCTGTTTAATCCTTGAATGGGGAAACTCTGGAAAATACGAGAGCTACAGATTAGCCCGTGAAGCTGAAAATATCCCCAAATAAGGTTATGACAAGGAAAGACAGGGAGATATTTACTTAAGAGTTCAATTTCCTATATGATCCCCAGGTAAAAGATTTTACTTTTGGGCACCAACTTACACTTCCTGGGGAGGGAAGATGGGGTTCAGGGCCACTAGGATAACTATGAACTTGTTCTAGGGGAACATAGGCCCAATTCATGTAGGCAGCCTCACATTAGATCTGATTTATGTCTTTAAGCAGCTAAAATGTAATCAGAAGACAGAACATTGCATTAGTTCTTTGTGATAGTCAGATCATGCTCTGGTTTCCATGGTGGCATAAACCTCTGCAGGAAGAAGAGAGGACCTCTGACCTCTCTTCAGTCAGAAGAAATTATAGAAGAAGAAATTATAGAAACGTGGCTCATCAGAAAGACATTGGGGATAGATATGATCATGCTTATATAATGTTATAATGTACATAATAACCAGACCGACTGAAATGTTATCTTTTATTAGTAATAGTGTCAGTCATTGATAATTTTTGGAAATGAAGGGGCGTACAGTAGAAGTTGTGGAAAGCAAAATGGTAATCTGTTTTTATACTGTTACCAAGAAAACTACATGGATTTATTTGTGAATTAATTAAACCCAGACTTTTTTACACACAGACAGATAACTCTGCAGGTATATGCATAATGTTTTCTCAAAATTAAGCTGAAAGTGTGGTGTAGAAGAATAAATACAAATTCATTTGATGGTTGCAGGGACAGTGAAAGTTTGGGACCCAAGACAAAAAGATTTTCCAGTTGCCAATATGGAACCAGCACAAGGAGAGAGTACAAGAGATTGCTGGACAGTTGCATTTGGTAGGTCTGAGTTTCTAATCCATTCATGCCATATAGAAATTGATCATGGAATTTATCTTGCTTCTCATTACTTTGTTCTCTGAATGGCTGTTTGCCCTTTTTTTAAAAATTGAAAAAAAGTCTTTAGGTTCTTACACAAATGTAATATTTTTCTGACATTCATTAAAACAGGCGTTTTTTCAGGCTTCAAAACTTGAGAACACTGTCGAGCAGTGTTGAGATGCATACATTTGTATGCAGAATTTGTGCTCAATTGAAACAATAAACTCTGTGCATGGTCCAAAGCATTTCTTCAGAATAATTTTCAAATAATCCAGAGTATTACCGAATATCACAATATTCCTTTTTTCAGATGCTCTGACACAGAAAGCAGATACAAATTATTAGGGAAAGTTGAAAATTTTGTTTGAAATTTAGCCCATAAAATTATTTCTCTAGAAATCAGGCATCAACCTATTACCTTTAATCCTTTCCAGTATCAAACAGACCATTTGAATCAAACAACCAGTTTAAATACTCCAAATCCTATTATTCACAGAGAAAATATGTGCATTAATGTATTGTTTAAAATAACATGTAAATACTGTGATTGCTACTTCTTTTGCTTTAATGCTATGATTTGTCTATTTCATTGCAAAACTTTTACTAAAAATGTATTTCCTTAAAATTGGTGTACAAATATAGGATTGTTAGACTAATGTTTGGTTATTTTATTGTTGATCCTTTATCTGAATACTGTCATTGTATTTTAATTAGGCAATGCATATAGTCAAGAAGAACGGGTTGTATGTGCTGGTTATGACAACGGGGACATCAAGTTGTTTGACCTTAGGAATATGACATTACGATGGGAGACCAACATTAAGAATGGGGTTAGACTTTTTTTTTCTTCACAAATCTTTGTAATTCTGTGGGGATGGGTAACATTTTAGAGTTTTTGTTTGTTAATTAATCAGTTTATTTTACCTGACTATTAGACTAGCAGTATGGTCAATCTGTAATGGAACATTATGCCAGATCAAATATTCTTTAAAATAAGCATGAAAATCAAAATAAATTGTAGTTTCAGTGATACTATTAAATGACAAATTCAGAAATATTATTGAAGTGTAAAATGTTTTGAAATTATATAATTCTTGATTCCATTAGGGCTAAGTAGAGAACTAGAGAACTAGCTATTCTCTGTCAAAATCAGGAGTGTCAAACTCAAGGCCCGTGGCCCGGATCCACTCCATGGGTGCTTAAATGTGGCCCATGGGGCCAGCCTGAAAGGACCAGCCTGCAGTGCTTATGCTGGCCAAAATGGGCCACAGGGGGTGAATGCAGGCCATTTTTGGCCTTCACAGCCTCCTACATCAGTCTGGCAGCCAAAAACAGGCTGTGGGGAGGGGGTGTTTTTGGCTCTCACTGCTCCTCCACAGTCTGACTGGGACGTGATTTACCGTATTTTCACGCATATAATCCACCCACGCAAATAACCCGCCCACGCAAATAACCCGCAGGTTTTCAAGATTTATGTAAAAAAGTTTTTATACACCCCGCCTTCTTATATAACCCGCGACGAGTAAGCCATCGGACCTCCCCATTATAACCAATCGACGTTATATGTAAACTTTATTGCTAATTACAATGGTATTATGCGTTACCTTTACCGATATTTATCTTCAATAAACGTGAAATCTTTTTAAAATATAGGCCGTACTGGGAACAATCACAGCACGTCCCTTCCCGATCTCAGCACTTTCCCTCCCCAGCGCCCAGGCTTTCTCCTCCGTTCCCGCCTCCCATCCCTTCCACCATCTCAGCAGTTTCCCTTCTCCTCCGTCCCTGCCTGTTCCTGCCTCCCATCCCTTCCACCATCTCAGCAGTTTCCCTTCTCCTCCGTCCCTGCCTGTTCCTGCCTCCCATCCCTTC